TTACTACAGGGCACCTGGGTGGCTCAGTCAGTTGGGCATCTGCCTTCAGCTCAGGTCATGGTCCCGGAGTCTAGGGATCGAACCCCACATTGGGGTCCCTGCTGAGCAGGGCCTCTGTTTTGCCCTCTCCCTCTGCTCCTTCTTTCTCTCTCTCTCTCAAATAAATAAATAAATAAAATCTTTTAAAAAATAAAGGGGCGCCTGGGTGGCTCAATGGGTTAGAGCCTCTGTCTTCAGCTCAGGTCGTGATCCCAGGGTCCTGGAATTGAGCCCTGCCTCGGGCTCTCTGCTCACCAGGGAGCCTGCTTCCCCCTCTCCCTCTGTCTGCCTCTCTGCCTACTTGTGATCTCTGTCAAATAAATAAATAAAATCTTTTTTTAAAATGAATTAATTAAAAAATAATTTTTACTACAGGATACCTTCAGTAAATGCAGGTATGTAGTGCGTCTCCAAGAGGGGTCCCGGGAGGCAGCTGGGAAGGACTAACCCATTTCCCTTGACTTACGAAGTATTTTTCTTGTGATCAAAGCTTGTTTCTAAGACTAGTAAAAGTAGAATCCCTCCCAGATGAGACCCCAGAAACAATAGCCAATGTTCACAGAGACTCCCTTACTGAGATTAAAAAACAAAACTCCACCGAGCAAATTTTAAAGATCTTGTTGGCTCTTGTCAGTGATTCATGAATCTGGCAACAACCAATGGAGCCAAGGGAGAGGCGCTCCAGGGAGCGGCGGAAGTGAAAGACTTCTGTGGGCAGAAGAGGGCAGTAAGTTGTAGGAGGCCAAAAACAGGTTGCCGGTTGCAAGATCGCCTTCCCTCAGGGGTCTGTAGGGCAGAGTACTTGACTAGCGCCGATCAGGGCGATTCCGGCACAGCTCGGTTCCGAGTCCGCGTCTGGGCGAGCTGAAACTGCACGCCTGGGTTAGGGAACGTGGAGCTTAGCATAAGCAACTACATTTGGGACCGTTGTTGTCTTATTTTTCACGCTGTGCTGGAAGTTGACAGAATTTTACTGCTTTTGATGGGAGACACTACAAATACAAATGTTGATGGCTGTTGATGGAAGATGTAGGAGACAGTATTTTTTCAGAGCCGGCGTGCAGTTGGAATGATTCTGTGGGAGGCGTTGGCTGTCCTGCCTTTCAACGCGGCTCAAACAGCCTGTTGGCTCTTCTACCGACACTAAAGTGTCCGGAAATTGGTTTCTGACTTACCCTTTATGCTGTTACAACTGTGGGATCAAAGGATTGTCGCCACTTGTTGCTGCGCAGTATTTTTCAATTCTCTCTCAAAATCTCCCCAGTGGCTCTCTCAAACAAATAACGTTGGGAAAATCCTCAGTTTGGTTGAAGTGCTGAAATTACATTTTCATTCTGAAAAAAAGCTGCCCAAATTCTTGATTTTTAAAGTAAGCCATGCGGACGCTGGCTGGCTCAGTTGGTAGAGCATGTGACTTTTTTTTTTTTTTAAGATTTTATTTATTTATTTGACAGAGAGACAGTGAGAGAGGGAATACAAGCAGGAAGTGTGGGAGAGGGAGAAGCAGGCTTCCCGCTAAGCAGGGAGCCCAATGCAGGGCTCTATCCCAGGACCCCGGGGAGCACAACCTGAGCTGAAGGCAGATGCTTAACGACTGAGCCATCCAGGCACCCCAAGCATGTGACTTTTGATCTCAGGGTTGTGAGTTCAAGCCCCATGCTGGGTGTAGAGATTACTTAAAATCTTTTTTTAAAAATAAAAATAGGGGCACCTGGGTGGCTCAGTAGGTTAAAGCCTCTGCCTTCTGCTCAGGTCATGGTCTCAGGGTCCTGGGATCGAGCCCCACATTAGGCTCTCTGCTCGGTGGGGAGCCTGCTTCCCCCAACCCCTGCCTGCCTCTCTGCCTACTTGTGATCTCTCTCTCTGTCAAATAAATAAATAAAAATATTAAAAAATAATAATAAATAAAAATAAAAAGCTAATGTACTGTATGTTAATTAATTGAACATAATAAAAAATAAAAATAGGGGCGCCTGGGTGGCTCAGTCATTAAGGGTCTGCCTTCAGCTCAGGTCATGATCCCAGGGTCCTCAGATCAAGCCCCACATCAGGTTCTCTGCTTGGCGGGTGGCCTGCTTCTCCCTCTCACTCTGCTGCTCCCCTGCTTGTGTTCCCTCTCTCACTGTGTCTCTCTCTGTCAAATAAATAAATATTTTTAAATTAAAAAATTTAAAAAATAAAGCTTTAAAAAACAAAATAATCCATGTTGGGAAGCCTATTTAATTTTTATTTTTCCTTATGATTTCCAATATCTGTTTAGCAACAAAATTATACAAATTGAAAGAACAGAAAACAGTGTTAAGTGCTCTGTATTTACACTAACTTCTTGGGACGCCCAAGTGGGGCAGTCAACTAAGAGTCCAACTCTTGGGTTCAGTTCAGGTCGTGATCTCACAGTGGTGAGATTAGTCCCACCATGGGCTCTGCACTCAGTGTGGAGTCTGCTTGAGATTCTCTCTTTCCCTCTCTCTCTCTCAAATAAGTAAATAAATCTTTAAAAAAAAATAACTTCTTGAATGTGTTTAAAAAATTGATGAAAAATTTATCTCTTTACATGTCAAGGCTATTCTTTTTTTTTTTTAAAGATTTTATTTATTTGAGAGAGAGTGAGAGAGGTCAAGTGAGCACAGAGGGAGAGGAAGAAGCTGACTCCTTGCTGAGCAGAGAGCTGGGAAGAGGGGCTCCAACCCAGGACCCTGGGATCATGACCTGAGCAGAAGGCAGACTTTTAATAGACTGAGCCACCCAGGTGCTCAAGGCTATTCTTTTTTTTTTTTAAGATTTTATTTATTTATTTGACAGACAGAGATCACAAGTAGGCAGAGAGGCAGGCAGACAGGGAGAGAGGAGGAAGCAGGCTCGCTGCCAAGCAGAGAGCCCGACGGGGCGCTCAATCCCAGGACCCTGGGATCATGACCTGAGCGGAAGGCAGAGGCCTTAACCCACTGGGCCACCCAGGCGCCCCTGTCAAGGCTATTCTTTTTTTTTTTTTTTTTAAGATTTTATTTATTCATTCGACAGAGAGAGATCACAAGTAGGCAGAGAGGCAGACAGAGAGAGAGAGGAGGAAGCAGGCTCCCCACCAAGGAGAGAGCCCGACGCGGGGCTCGATCCCAGGACCCTGGGATCATGACCTGAGCGGAAGGCAGAGGCTTTAACCCACTGGGCCACCCAGGCGCCCCCGTCAAGGCTATTGTTAAAGGAGATGTTGCTCAGAACACAAAGAGAATTTCTGATTTGAAGTGGATAGTTACTGCAGCATTTCCATAATGCCCTTTACAAAATGATTTTAATCCCTAAAGAATTTTATTCTTTTACATGAAGTAAATACCAGCACAGAACAAATGGAATCACCCCGTAAGGTGTTGAAAATGGGAATAAGAAATGAGAACAATGCTCCTATTTTGTGGGTAGACACTATTTTTAAAACTCCTTGAGCCAGAGATGCCGCATAATCCTGAAGAAGGGCAAAGCAAATTGCGCCATGAACGATGGAATTTGACATATCGAAATTTTGTTTAAAGACTTTTATTTTTCAGTAATCTCTGCACCCCGTGTGGGGCTCGAACCCACGAACCTGAATTCAAAAGTCACTCCCTCCACTGGCTGACCTAGCCAGGTGCCCCTTGACACTGTATTGGATCATGATGCTAAGGTTGAGCATGTTTTCTCATTAATGGACACAACAGGATAAAAAAAAGTAAATAGACATTCGTGGGTGATTTCACAAGGGAGAGCTCTGATGCCCTATACGCAGAGTCAACTGCAGACCCTACAAGAAGAGACAGACCTAACCTTGAATGCACTTGACCTTGCAGGGGGATGTGTTCCACTCTCCCAGAGGGCGGGAAGACTGGCTTTCCTTATTCCCACCCCGCCCCCAACAGCTCAGCCAATGAGAAGTCAGTATACTTCCAACTCCCAGTTTACTCCAATGGACTTTTTTTTTTTTTTTAAGATTTTTTATTTATTTATTTGACAGAGAGAGACCACAAGTAGACAGAGAGGCAGGCAGAGAGAGAGAGAGGGAAGCAGGCTCCCTACCGAGCAGAGAGCCCGACGCGGGACTCGATCCCAGGACCCTGAGATTACGACCCGAGCCGAAGGCAGCGGCCCAACCCACTGAGCCACCCAGGCGCCCCTCCAATGGACTTTTAGTTATAACAGCCCTCCCTGCTCCTTTTCTCCATAAATGCGTGCTCCTGCTTTGTTCTTCGACTTCCCTGCAGTTTCGGGAGAAGGTTTTTTGGTTTTTTGGTTGGTTTGGGTTTTTTTGGTTCACAGCACTCTTTTATTCCCCCAGTAAATCCATTTTTGCTGGTAAAGGAGCTGGCAGTTTTTATTTTAAGATCAACACAATATTGCAATGTTAATGGAACATAGACCGAAACTGCAAGGAATTTTACAAGCCAATTCTACAAAAAGAAGACACTGGTGAGAACCAAAACCTCCGGGACATATAAAGGAAGAGGTATATAATTTAGATAACCTGTCGTTTATTTCAGAAAATCCGCGATTTATTTTCTGTGTGGTGAAAATACACAAGTTGGGTTCCCAGGAGGCAAGCTCAGGGTGTTCCTGAGGAAGTGCCCCGGGGTTGGGGCGGTGCTCTGGAGCTAGAACAGCCCTGCAGAGTGGTCCCCGTTCAGAGAGGACCCTTACACCAGGCGGGCTGCCCTGGGAAGGGGCGAGAGCTCCGCCAAGGTGCTCTCTGCCCCTGCCCCCTTGTTGGACCCGTCATACTCATTGCCACCTTGACCGCCCCCACAGCAACCCTATGAGTTCGGTTTCTTGCATCCACTTTACAGAGGGGGCGACTGGGAAGTAAAGTGACTTGCTCGAGCTCGGGCTGAATTTGAGCCCGTTCTGCCCATCACCACCACAGCAGGGGGCTTCCCACTCACTAGTTGGCAACCGTTTCCATGGAAGACTCTTCTCTCAGGAATTGTCCCCCCGATGTGTCACTTGCAGATCTTGATCTCTGAATACTCGGTGGTGTTAGAGCCCTCCGGGTCCTGAGGCTTCCAGGGCCTCAGCCCATGGAAGGTGAGGGAGGCGTAATGGAGCTCGGACTCCTCCTCCAAGGTGGGCGGGGCCACGGCTGGGGGCGGGCAGGCTAGGGGGATGCTTCCCGGATACTCTGGCTGGTAACCCTGAATGGAGAGGAAAGAAGGGGGTCCAGTTAGGATAATGGGAGCTGGCAGACGGTAAGGAGGATCCACAAGCAAACCTGGAAACTGAGCACTTAGTCTTTCATCCATTCGTTCCACAAACATTGGCTGCGCCCACATTCATTCATTCATTCATTCAATAAATATTTGAGAATAATAATGCCTGGCCCTTGGTAATCAGTTACCAAGCTCCCAGATCCCTCATTCCTTAATGGCTTAATTCCTTAGGCCATTAAGGAGACACGGTTATCGCCATTTATCAGGTGGAGAAAGTGAGGCTAAGTAAATATCCCCCAAATCACACGCTGAGTTGTTGGTGGGGCCAAGACTAACACCCAGGTCTCTCTGGCCCCAGTGTCTGCCCCTGCCAGGCCCTGGCTCTTCGGTGGGGAAACAGGGCAGACATGGTCCATTACACCAGCTAGCTCACAGTGGGGATAGCTGACATTTTAGTAGTAGTCAATTAGACTACCATCTAATAGTAAATTGTGATAGGATGCTCAGGATTAGGGTGGGTGGTGTGAGAAGACAGGGATTTGCTCAGAGCTAAACTGCCTTCAGGGACCATCCAGTATTTCAGAAGTTCAGGCAAACAATTACAAAATTATACCATGAACCCTAAAAGCAAAGGACGTTGTGTGGTAAAAGGCCCAGTGTACCTGAAGAAAGGGTTGACCCTTTGCCCCAGCCCCTGGGAGGGAAGCTCTAAGCCAGTGGAAGGTCCTGCCTGATGGGAACATCTCCGTTCACCTGGGACCTCGGGCCACACAGTATTAGCTTGACCTCTAGAGGGGCTGGAGACCACGTAACCAAGGTCAGTCATACAGGTGCTCCATACTCACATGACTGACCCCCAGTAGAAACTCAGGACACAAGGCAAGGGTGAGCTTCCCTGGTGGCAGTACCACCCCCCTGTCCACACCCACCCCCCTGCCCACACACACACCCCTGCCTCTCATCACACACCAGTGCTGGGAAAAATCAGCACTGTCTATGGGACTCTGAAGGGAGAGACACCTGGAAGGTTCTTTTACGTGGCAGAGTCCAGGGGCCCTCCCCTCGGCTGCTGTGATCTGTCTCTCCTCCCTGAAATAAACTAGCCACGAGTATAACAGGTCCTCGTGAGTTCTGGGAGGACTTCTGGTGAGCTGTTGAAGCTGAGAGTGGTTGGGGACCCCTGAATTTTGTAGTTATTTTGGGGAGACCCCCTGGCATCCTGTGTTGGGGAGGAGAGAGAGGAAGGAGGGGAAGACAGGCCTGGGGTCCAGGGAGAGATGAGGAGGTAGGGATAGGGAGGGTCCAAGTGAACACAGGAAGACAGACAGATGCTGGTGATCTTTGGCTCTGCAAGGTGAGTCAGAGAGCAGAGGGGAGAGTGACTCCCAGGTCGCTGGCCTGGGAGATTGAGTCCACGGGGACCGGGGAACAACAGCCTGTTTGGGGCATGATGACCATCTGAGTCGTCTAGAGGGTTGTGGCCGTGACCATCCTGGGGTGGTGGCCAAATGGCATCCTGACGGACGAAGGTTCATCACTCACCCAGGAGAGAGAACCCAGCGTGCGGGTGGCATCCGTCCCACCAGCTGCAGGCCAGGGAGCCTGTTTCCTGCAGATCTTCACCCTGAGGGGGAGGCCAGGACCCGTCAGCAGCCCCGCTGACTCACTGCCATGCCCACTGAAGAGGCTGACAGGAGGGGACGTACAGAGTCTGTCCACCCGTGAGAATGGGCCTGGCCGGGATCCCCAGTTCTCACAGCCTCGGCACCATCTGGGCTCCTCGAGCTGGGGCTGCCTGGGACCCCAGGACTCAGACCCATTCCGTCCCACGCCCTCGCTTTTTCGTCCAGAGGCGACACTCACATGAAGAAGATGAGGCAGGGACAGAGACTGAGCAGGCCAGCAACACCGGCACCCGCGACGGCCCCCAGAACGAATCCTCCCTCGAGCTCAGGCTTCCCTGCAGGTGAGTGGGGCTGCCGGTGAGTCCCCTCCAAGCCCCAGGACTCTGGTGCCCCCTCCTCGGGCTCTCACCTTTTTTGGCCCCCAACTAGCGGAACACCAGGACTCTGCCCCCCACCCTTCCTCTCTCTCACCCCCTCCCCTTTGGCTCCCAGCCCCACCCCGAGACCGTCTTTTCTAGGATCCAGACTCCCTCCTCCTACACCTCTGCCCCCGACAGCTCCCCGACCTGGGAGCAGCAGGACAGCGGCGCTCTGTTTCCCATGTGCATTCCGGGCCTCGCAGCTGAGTCTGAGGCTGGAGCCCAGCGGCCCACTGAGGCTCAGGGAGCTGTTGGCCCAGGGCCCAGCAGAGCTGGAGGTGACGGTCCAGGAGGCGTTGCTGTGGTTCCCCTCCAGCAGCTCCTCCCCCAGCCGCCAGCGCAGGGTGGGCGCCGGCTGGGCTCGGGAGGAGCAGTTACAGCGCAGCCCCTCGCCCTCCCAGGAGCAGGAGGGGCTGAGCAGCCGCGGGGGGTCTGCGGGAGAAAGAGGAAGGGTCAGGGGTGCCGCTGCTCCCCAGGCCCCGGGCAGCCTGCCCCCAGGGGTCCCCACACTCACAGACCACAGACAGATGCAGGGAGACCTGCCGGGAGCCCAGCGGGTTCTGAGCTTGGCAGGTGAATTTGCTTTCGTTGCCCAGCTCCACTCGGGGCAGCTCCAGGAGCCCCTGCTCCCAGCGCCAGGAGGGACCCAGAGTCCGGCTCCCCTGGACCCAGCTCAGAGTGGCGGGAGGGTTGCTGTCAGCAGCACAGACCAGGAGCAGAGTCTCCCCTTCCAGGACTGGAAGAGCTGAGCCGTTCCCTGGGTACTTCAGTTCTGGGGGGGGCAGAGAGAGAGAGCACAGGCGCACTCAGTGCAGGCCAGAGGCTTCAAAGCCCTGGTCCTTTTCTCCTCCTCCATTTCTCCTAAGTTGGGAAGGGATCTTTACACGTAGTCCCGCAAGCAGCGTTATGGTGATATGATTCACGTACTAGACAATTCCATTCACACACCACTTACAGAGAGTCGTGGGGTAACCCTCACCACAATCAATTTTAGAATGTTTTCATCACCCTCCAAAACTCCCCCCTGCACCCCCCCAGCTGCCTCCCCCCTTACTAACCTCCCCAACCCCCAGCCCCTGACAACCCCTAACCTAACTTTCTGTCCCTGTGGATCTGTCTCTTCTGAGCATGGCCTAAGTAGAATCACACGCCACATGGGCTCCTGTGTCTGGCTTGTTTCTCAGGGCGTGACATTTCCAAGGTTCTCCCGCCTTGTGGCGCCTGCCTGGGCCTCGCTCCTGTTCATGCAGAATCAAGTTCATCGCATGGACAGACCGCCTTGTGCTTATCCGTCCATTGATGGACACTGACCTCTTTGAGGTGAGTGCTCTTTTTTTTTTTTTTTTTAAAGATTTTGTTTATTTGTTGACAGAGAGCACAGGAGAAGGGGAAGCAGACTCTCTGCTGAGCAGGGAGCCCAATGCGGGGCTCGATCCCAGGACCCCCTGGATCATGACCCAAGCCAAAGGCAGACGCTTAACCGACTGAGCCACCCAGGCGCCCCGAGGCAAGCGCCCTTAACTACATTTCCCCCTCTCTATCCCGAACCGCTGAACACCCCTCGCTCACAAGTATCCAAAATTCAAGTGCCAGACCCCTCAAGGCTCTTCAGGATGTGACCTCTACCTCTTTGCCTCCTTCCCCCACCTTCCCCCTTGTCTCAGGAGTAGGGCAACCACACTGTGCGTTCTAAAATTCACAAAGGAGGAAGGGGAGTTCAGAACAAAGTCTCCCTTCCGTGCGGACTCCCCAGGCCACAAATCCCGCTCCTCAAAGGCAACGATGATTGATGATTGCCAGTTTCTCATATGGCCTTCCAGAGCTATTCAAGGCAGCCTTATCTAGGAGCATTGAAAATATACTTCCCCGAGGCCCCACGGTTTGGCTCCTGGGCATAAAATGTATAGTCCTGTCCCTCAGAGCACGGGCACCCTCCAGGAGCTGGATAGAAATGCAGAACCAGAGGTCGCTCAGGCCTCCTGAGTCACATCTGCATTGTCACAAAATGGTTGAGAAATCAGGTGCTCGACAGCTTGTGGGGTACAGCCGAGAGAAACGCTCCTCTGTTCACAAGGGGAATGTCCGAAGCAGCATTATCATGGAAACTAAAATCTGTGGACAGCTCCATCGCCCATCAAGAGTGGAATGTGAGGGGCACCTGAGTGGCTCAGTGGGTTAAAGCCTCTGCCTTCAGCTCAGGTCATGATCCGGGGGTCCTGGAATCGAACCCTGCATCGGGCTCCCTGTTCCGCGGGAGCCTGCTTCCCCCTCTCTCTTTGCCTGCCTACTTGTAATATCTCTCCCTCTCTCTGTCGAATAAATAAAAATCTTAAAAGAAAAAAAGAAACAATGGAATGTGAAACTAACATAATACCTACAAACAGAGGCAAAAATTAGAGCCACAAGCAACACGGAGGAATGTCAAGAACACAGGGTGACATCCCATCAGAATAGTCAAGGGGACTATGACCCCCGCAAATCCACTCCCAGGAGTAGATCCCAAAGACGTGGAAGCGAGGAGTCAAGCAGATCATTGTACAGAAATTTTTGGAGCTGCCCTGTTGACAGGAGCCCCGAAGAGGAAACAACCCAAATGTCCATCCACGGACAGCCGGACGGCCGGACGGTGGTCTCTCCATACAACGGAATAATACTCAACCTAACGAGGAGTGAACCCCTGACCCGCGCTACAACAGGGATGAACCTTGATCATGTCATCCTAAGTGGAAGAAGCCAGACACGTGTTTAGGAAAATTACAAGAAAACAGAAGGTACACGGACGTGTTAATTAACTGGATCGTGTGCCTCCTTTGGCGGTGTAAACGTATATCGAATCTCCATCTATGAAATCTCAGCTTGTACGATTTAAATAGATGCAAGTTATTCATCAATTATACCTTCATCAAAAATAAAGTAAAATATAGAGAAAGGATGGTGACACAGTGTCCAGTGTAATGGCTCTCTCTGAGGCCAGATAGAAGGGGCCTCAGAGAGAGGGGTTTCCAAAGGTGGGGTTGCTGTTCTTTTTTTCTTAGGCTCTGCACCCAGTGCGGGGCTCATACTCATGACCCTAAGATCAAGAGTTGCAGGCACCACGGACCGAGCCAGCCAGGCGCCCCTCGTGCCTTAACTGGGGTGGTGAGTACCAAGGTGTTCATTGGATGGTGATTCTTTGTAACTTGCCTGTATTTGACAAAAAGGCTTTGCATATAATGAATAGTAAGCGAAGATCATGGATGGGGGGCCTCCCAGCTCTGCTCTCCCTGTTTGTCGACCTGGCCCTCCCGGCTTGGCTTCGAGCTCCAGGCTCTGCTCTGCTGGGGGGATGTGCTCCCATCCAGCCTTAGGGAGGGGGCCCTCCCGACTCACCTGTGCAGTTTCTTCGGGAGATGCTGATGCTCAGGTTCTGTGGGGCATCTGGGACAGAGAGACACAATGACGAATGGGGTCGGAACTGGCCCTTCCCCTGCCATCCATCCCCAGGAGACACAGGAATGGGAACTGACACAGACAAGCCCAGTGTCCTCCCTGCAGCCCCTCTGCGCCTCCCCGACCCACCCGCAGGTACCCAAGTCCAGGCCCTGCACGCACAGAAGACGTTGAGCGTAATGGTGCTTTGGGTGCTCACGCCAGCCCTGGGGAAGGTCACCCAACAGGTGAGGTTGGTGCCATGGTCCTGTGGGTGGGGGGTGAGCAGGATCTCCGAGGAGTTAGAGGCCTCCAAGTCCAGTCCCGGGGCTCTGAGGGCAGCCCCCGTCCAGGAGATGGTGAAGGGCGTCGCCCCATCACAGGCCCCAGGCACAGAGCATGTCAGGTGGCTGGGGCGGCCGGACTCCAGGGGCTCCTTGACCCGGATATCCGGGGTCTGTGTCAGTGCTAGAGAGGAGAGAAAGAGAGTCCGGACCCCAGAGGGGACCCCCATGTATTACTCTGAAACAGGTCAGGTTCACCCCAACCCTGACCTGACCGTGCTACCTTCTCCCCATTAAGAATGAGCAGCTGGGGCTCCGCTGCTGCCCTTGAGGACATGCCCCCTGCCCCGTGATTGGCTCTTGGGGACCTTCCCTACCTGTCACACGCACAGTGAGCCTGTTACTTCTGTAACGGTGTCTCATGAGACCTCTGTACAGGTGAAAGTAATAGTTTCCACTGTGTCGCCTCTGCGCGTCCGTGATGCTCAGGGAGCAGTCGCCCGCCCCAGGGTCTCCGGAAAGGTGGAGACCTTTCCTCTTCGTCCCTCTGACTGGGCTCTTTGTGGCCATGGGAACTGCCGCTCTAGGATTATCCTTTAACCGGTACCAGGAGCCGTAAACATGTGTAGTGTTGTTCGTGCCAAGCCCGGGGTAGGAGAAGGAGCAGGGCACGTGGACGCACAGACCATTCTGCACTGTCACCGTGCCCTGTACCCGGAGCTCGTACCCCGGATCCCCCTGCAGGGAACCTGCGGGGACACCAAGGCTCAGCAGCCGTGTCAGGACCAGCACGGCCCCCCACTCCTGGGGACCCCCTGGCCCTCAGCCCACTCACCGGCCCACAGCAGGGGCAGCAGCAACAGCATCTCCATGGTCCCAGGGGCTGTCCTCAGTCCGTCTGGCTTCTGGACGTGCCTGTCTGTCCCAGAAGGAAGCTCCGACAGGAAGCTTCTTGGGGGAAGAAGAGGGTAGTGACCGTCCACGGAAGAGGAACCTCAGGAAGGGAACTGTGAAGTCCTGACAAATCCCTTCTTCCAACTTCTCCTTTCCCAGATGAACAAGTAGAGGCAGAAAGGACCCAGGGCTTGCCTACACAGGGAAGGAGCCCGGCATGGGGCTCGGGGGAGGGCGGCCCTGGCAGTGGGGTTTTCAGGGGGAATGGGTGAGGAAGGGCTCCAGGTGAGGAGCTGGGGGCAGGAATCATTCATTCATTCATTCATTCATTCACCAGGCCCCATCTACTCCCTGCAGGGGCTGGGGACAAAGGGGAGAACAGGACCCACCTGACTTCTGCCCGCAGGTACCACGCCTCATGCCCCCCAACACCCAATGCCCTCTGGCTCCCCAAGAGCACTCAGTTTCCCCACAAGCCTTGGGGCCGTGTCTGCAGCCCACCCACACTCCCAGCTCCACAGTGAGAAGCCAGTGGGGACCCACGGTCACTGCACTCAGCAGGGCCTCACACTTGGGGTCGCCACCTTGAAAGCCTTAATAATTTTATTTCTTTTTTAAGGATCTTTTTTTTTTTTTTTTAAGGACCCGGGGCTCGAACTTACAACCCTGTGATCGAGACCTGAGCTGAGATCAAGAATTGGACACTTGACTGACTGAGCCACCCAAGCGCCGCTAGATTTGAATTTGTGTTTTGTAAGTGAAGTCTCATGGGATGAGGAGCTCCAGAGGGGGAAACTGGAACCTTGGATCACATGCTTCTCCCACCCTCCCCCTCCCCCACCCCTCACCCCCAGGGCAGGTTCTCAGCCCCACTCCCACCCTCAAGCCCCACCTGGGCACAGAGAGGGTCTGAGCTTTGCTGAGAGGTGGGAGCCCCACACCTCTACACTGCCCACCAGTGGTCTACACTGCCCACCCCCCGCCCCCAGTCAAGCCTGAGGGTTACACCTTTCCTGCTCCCAGAGGCTGCTCCGAGGACACACAGCCCTGAGAACACCTGTACCGTGCAGTGACTGAACCCAGTTAAGGCCTCCCCGTATACAAACTTCAAGATTTGGAAGGACAGGTGCACAGCCTACTGGTCTTGCCGCAGCCCAAGACAAGCTCCAACGGAAGTTCCCTTTGCTTATTAAAACTGCCACCTACAGGGGCGCCTGGGTGGCTCAGTTGGTTAAGCGTAGGCTCAGGTCATGATCCCAGAGTCCTAGGATCGAGCCCCAGGTCAGACTTCCTGCTCAGGAGGGAGTCTGCGTCTCCCTCTCCCACTCACTCTGCTTGTATTCCCTTTCTCGCTGTGTCTCTGTCAAATACATAAATATAATCCTTTTAAAAAACTTACAGATGGTAAATTTTAGGGGTGCCTGGATGGCTCAGTCCGTTAAGCATCTGCCTTTGGTTCAGGTCATGATCTCAGGGTCCTGAGATTGAGCCCCTGGTCAGGGCTCCCTGCTCAGGGAGCCTGTTTCTCCCTCTCCCTCTGTCCCTCTCCCTCTGTCTGTCTCCTGGCTCGTTCTCTCTCTCTCAAACAAAATCTTTAAAAATAAAATGGTTAATTTGTTTTAAAAGATTTTATTTATTTATTTGACAGACGAGATCACAAGTAGGCAGAGAGGTAGGCAGAGAGAGAGAGGAAGAAGCAGGCTCCCCGCGGAGCAGAGAGCCCGATGTGGGGCTCGATACCAGGACCCTGGAATCATGACCTGAGCCGAAGGCAGAGGCTTTAACCCACTGAGCCACCCAGGCGCCCCAGTGGTTAATTTTATCTTATGTGTTTTTTACTACCTTTTATCTTACTTTTTTTTTTTTTTTTTAAGTGTAAAGACAAAACCAAACCAAGCCACAGGTCAAGAGAGACAATCCCTGGAAGAAACGAAAAAGCTTTTTCCTGGTTTTTGTCACAGGGGCCCTACACTTTCATTCTCCCCGGGGCCCCACAAATTACCTAGCTGGCTCTGGTGAGAAGCTTCCAGGCTCAGACCTGCCCGGAGTGGGGTGGGGAGCTTGGTCACCACTGCCCAGGGGCGGGGTCCATAAGCATCTCTTGAAGAGCCAGGACAACATAGGAATCAAGGAGGCCTATCCAGGGCCCCTCTGCTTCTGTGCAACCCCAGCTTCCTAGCTATGCGTGCAGCGAAGAATCAGCCTGAAGCAAAGACCAGAGCTGAAGATGGAGGTGGGCTCCATCTTCCACAAAGTCTGGGCTCTTGCGGGGAGCGGGGGCAGGGGGAGCCCCTGAGCCCTTGGAAAGTCCTGCCTGGCAAGAGTGCTCTGGTTTACCTGGGGGCCTTGGGCCACAGCAGGTAGGCACTGGATCAGTCTGATCCCTGGAGGGATTAGAATGGGAACAACTTAAGTCAGCCATGCGGGGGAAGTTCCACGTCTGTGCGACTGTCCCTATAGCAGTTTCCTGGGGGCTGCCCTAGCAAAGCAGCACAGGCTAGGCGGCCTCAAACAACAGGAATTGTTCTTCAGGTCCTTCTAGTGAATCTTCGAACCTCAGGGTGGTCTACTCCCCCCACGCCACTCCCTAGAACAGACTGTCCACCCCTTCTGGGGTCGGGTCGGGAAGCCCGCGGGAGGCAGCGCCCGGCATTCTCGTTCCGCGGGTCCGCAGACGGCGGCTCGGCGCGCCCCCTGGTGGCCCCGCTGCGCTCTGCTCGCAGCGAGCCCCGGCGCCCCGCTCGCCCCCGCCGGGAAGTTGGTGGGTGACCAGGCAGATTGCTGAGTTCACAAATGGGACAAGCCCTAATCCGAAACACATAGAGAAAGCTTCAGTTCCTTTGCATCTGGAACCGGTTCCTCACCTAATTCATCAACCACTTGTCCCTCAAACATGAGGGGACTTGTCACTTTTAACTAAATGGTCCCAGGAGGTACCAGAGAGACACCGGCACAGCATACAACCCATGGCGTGTGGATCCAAGGGTCATTGTGTCCCCTGCCCATCCCCCCGGTTGCCATGGCTACTGTATGGTCCACAACCCGACCTAGGCTCTGTGGATTGGGGACACGGGGACCTCTGTCTCCAGCTCAGTCACTCCGCCTTGTCTTGGTTTGAGTCAGCTTTTTTATTTCTGCAGAATTGCAAGATGGACCCCTCCAACTTCCCTTCTTTCAAATTAAGTAAGCGCTTCCTTGCTTTTCCAGTAGATGACCAGAAAGAGCAAAGGGAGGGGGTGAGCCACCGGTGGGATGCCGGGGACCCAGGACCACATAGCGCTGACACGTTGTGGGCGCCGAGGACCGAGGATTCACCCAATGCCAGGCAGTGTCCTCGGGAAGAAAGAAGCCCTAATTCGTTCTCTTCTTCGGGAGACATCATTGCCTCTGGGTCTCCTTGGCCTGACAACTGGGTCTGGTTGCCTAGATACAGAGGAGGCCACCCTTCCTGAAATAGGAGGGTGGAGAGCCTCCGGGGACTCAAAAGTCTGTGTCTGTAAGTGTGTTTTGTATTCGTGTGTCCATAGAGGGTGAGGATGCCTATGTGTGTAATTGTCACACATGCACACTATTTGATATTGGGCTTTTTTTAAAAAAGATTATTTATTTATTTATTTATTTGAGAGAGAGCGAAAGAGCAGGGAGGAGGGGCAGAGGGAGAGGGAGAAGCAGACTCCCTGCTGAGCGGGAGCCTGACAAGGGGGTCGATCTCAGGACTCTGGGATCATGACCTGAGTCAAAGGCAGATGCTCAATGACTAAGCCACCCAGGCGTCCCATGCTGGGGTATTTGAAACCAACCTCAGAAGCTAATATTGAGAGAGACCATGTATATCTTGGGAACCATATTAGGGATTTGGGTCATTAATTCCGGGGCAAAGGGAGCCTCATTAAAGTGTCTAAAAGCAGGAAAAATGTGCTTCTAAAAGTGAAAATATAGAGTGGTCCCACAGAGCCTGCTCACTCATTAGGGAAGCCTAGTCATGGCTGCCCCCAGCTTCTGGCTCATTCTGCACATGAGATGCATTTCTTCCAGTCTTGGAAGGGGTCCCTCTGCACCTGAACACGCCTGTCAGGCTGAGCTGGACCGGGGGGAGCCGAATCCTGAGCCCCTCACAGCCCTTGAACTCTGGAGTCCTGGAGCTGCCCCAGGTGGGGTCCGGGCATGAAAGTGAATTCACCTGTTGAGCTCTAGAGTACATCATCAGCTAGGGCCCTGCAGGTGGGGTCAGCACGTGACTTCCCCAGACTCCTCCCACCGTCGGCTGTGGTTCCTGGAGCCTGAGGCCTGGCTCAGAACAGGCACAGAGGCCAGATTTCTGGGACTACGCGAATGTGACTTTGCCCTGGGGAGAGATGGAGCGGGTGGCGAAGGGGTGGGGTGAGAGAGTGTTTCTTTCTCTCCCCTCGCACAGACAGAATCAGAGAAAATGCCAGATGCCAGGCGGAGATTCAAGAAGGCAGTGTATTTAAGAGAATGGTGGCCCCCAAAGACGTCCACATCCTAATCCCCAGAGGCTGGGAATATGCAAGTTTGCAAGGCAAAGGGGACTCTGCGGGTACCGGGACCTTAAAGATCCTGGGATGGAGAGATCATCTACGTGGAACCCAAAGGTGATCCCACATTTGTAAGAAGGCGGCAGAGGGAGATCTAACAGCAGAATAGACAGGAGGATATGTGACGGCAGAAGAAAGATTGTAGAGATAGTCAGTCCAGGAATGCTGGCGGCCACTGGGAACCTTGGAAGCAAGGGACAGATTCTCCCCAGAACCTCTAGAAGGAACCAACCCCGCCAATGCCTTGACTTCAGCCTCGTGAGGCTCACTGTTGGACTCCAGAACTGTAAGTAAATACATGTGTCTTGTGTTAGCCATGACTTTAAGTTTAACCCCCCTGGCCCTCGAGAGGCTCCAGGAGGATATCCATCTCCTGGCCTTTTCCAGCTTGTAGAGCTGCATTCCATGCCTCGCGGCCCCCA